TAAATTCTGATCCTATATACATTTTTATTTTGTATTGTGTCATAGCAATGAGTAATGAAAAATTTCTGATATATATTATAGATGTTTTTTAAAAGAAGGGAGTTCTGATCCTGCATATTCTCTGCAATTTCATATATTGAATATATCCACCACATGTCTATTTAGAATAACGACTAAGACAAATTATAATTACATTATGAATTGGTAAATACTATAATTACAATCAAGTGTTGTTCTATACAACTCATTTACACGCCAAATTCTTGATAATTAGGCATACAATTGACACGTGGGAGAATGTCGCTGATTCCCATCTTTACGAATAGCATTATAATCTGCTAGGCACCTATTGATGGTACGAGGCAAGAAATCAATAAAAATTATTCTCTTGAAAAACATAAAAGTATCAATTAGGAACTCGAAGTTTCTTACAGCCAACAGAATTCGTATTTGCAGGTGTTAATTCTGCACGTCATGTGATTACATCCTTCATCTTTTGTAATATGAATCCCACATTTCGGGCAAGGTTTTGTCTCGCGCTGTAGATATTCTCGAGTCGCCGTTTCAGATTCAGCATTTTGCAGCATTTCATCATATTCCTTACAGGTCATTCCTTCATGCCACGGTATGTCATGTGTGTAGCATGATTTCGTTTTGCATGCCTTGCAAGTCATAATTGGAGCATCATCTTTTGTTTCATCATCAAATACCGACAAAAAATATATATAAATTCAAATCCAAAGGCCAAGAATAATGTACTATTTTTTTTACCTTGTTGGTAATGAATTTGACCCGATCCACATCTAGCATTCTTACACCATCGAAATTCCGGCATTGCACGCAACGCCTCACGAAGAGAAAACGTGTCATATCTAAGAAATACGTGTCATAAGTTCCTGCATTGCCTCTACGAATCAAAAAAATCGAAAATAAATAGAAAGCTGCTAGCAACACCTTTTAAAAACCTCCGACTCCGTTAATCTTTTCACATCATGATGTTCGAGTTGCTGAGTACATCCCAAAGTCGGACAAGTTATTATGACACTGCCTTTATTGGTTAAATGGGACTCGACATGTCTATTAACACAACCACGACACACAGTAACAGGATGTTTGCAACCACTAGTTATTTGCAAAAAATCTGATGCGACTATATCTTCACAACAAACTGCGCATTCTTTAGTTTTATTTTGGTTGTTACTGCTGCTGTTGGTGGCGGAACTAACTGTCTGTGGAAATTGCGTCGAAATAAGAGATCTGCGTAAGGTGGCGGAGCCTCTCCGTTGTAATGGAGTTCTGTTGTAGGTGGCGGAACCGCTTCTTCGTTGGAATTGAGTACTGCTGTAGGTGGCTGAACTGCCTAACGAACCAGAAGAAGAAAAGTTGTCAAACTCGCTAGAGACAAAGTTGCCCATATGGAAAGGTTCTAGCTAAGGAATTTTCTAACACAATATGACGTTGATCATAAACTTCGTTATCAGAGAGTTACACAATTGTCGCTTTTTTTACCAGATTACACTAACTTTGCGGAATGATGATTCGGTCAACTTTATCAAAATTTCAAAAGGCATTTTTTTCTTTGCCTTCAAGCTCAAAAGACCTTATAAGGACTCTTGACTTTAGTCGTGGCATTAATAGCATGCGAAGGCTCGAAAGAAAAATCGTGCTAATGTATATCAAATGTCAGATTAAAGAGTCGTGTATTTATTATATTCAAGATTAAAACCTGTCTGTGATTTTTCAATCATACCACATATTTTCTATCTATATCGATAGCACGGGTGCCTCAGCTGGTATCGGTGAAGCATGCGCAAAAGAATTCGCAGCTGCAGGATCAAATCTGGTATATATATTAAATTCGACGATTCAATTTATTCGAATTGAAATAATGACTATATTTACGTGATAGATTCTTACAGCTCGACGAGTAGATCGTCTAGAACGTTTGAAAAGTGATCTTTCAAAAAAGTATCCACAAGTAAGAATTCACACTCTCCAACTGGACGTACGTGATAAAACGAATGTTGATAAGCTGGTGCCTGGGTTACCATCTGAATTCAAAGAGGTTGATATACTTGTTAACAATGCTGGTATATATGTGTAAATAATCAGTATGCATTCCTTTTGATGTTAATTCTCGGTTAGATTGGATCTTTGATTGGAAAAGCTTTTTCATATTATCGACTTTTTTTGTGTAAGGCCTCGTTATTGGACTTGACAAAATTAATGACGTCACCGATGATGCGATTGACACGATGATTGACACAAATGTTAAAGGCCTCATATATGTAACGCGAGCTATATTACCCGGGATGAAAGAACGTCAGCGTGGTCATATTATTAATATAGGATCCGTATCAGGTAACTTTTGTTCGTTTTATTTACGATTTCAAGTTTTAAGATGCTAAAGTCGGAATTCTCTTTTTACGACATTAGGAACACAAGTATATCCTGGCGGTGGTATTTATTGTGCGTCAAAACATGCCGTAAATGCGATCTCAAGAACACTATTGCTCGAATTGGTTGATACACCGATTCGCGTGACGGAAATTAATCCTGGAATGGTAGAGACAGAATTCTCAATAGTCCGATTCAAAGGTGACAAAGAGAAAGCTGGGAAAGTGTATCAAGGATTTGTAAGTCTTAATTTTAATGCATTTTCGTTTTATGAATTTACTTAACAATATATAATTTATAGAATCCTTTGACTGGTGAAGATATCGGTATGAAAGAATAAAATTACTGTATTCTTTAAAGGTTAGAATTTCCTATTAATTCATGCTATCTTTTTTTATTATATAGCCGAGACGATTATATTCGCAGCTTCTCGCCCAGATCATGTTAACATTGCAGGCATGTTCCTTCAAGAAATTATTATTTGATTTCTATATAAACTAATAGTTTGCTTGAGTTACCTATACAAATACTTTATTCTAACATTCATATCAATTAAAGATGTGTTGATATATCCAGTTAATCAAGCAGCTGTCACAACTGTGCATCGTCCGCTTCTCCAACAACAAAACCAAGGGACAACAGAAAAGAAATAAAATATTAGCTTGCAACTTATCAGTCATTTTAATTTATGCGAAATTCTTGATTTACCTATTTTGTTCATTATGGACACTTTATATATATAAAAAATAGAGATGTTAACTTTATAATGATTGGATGTTGATCAAGTGGTAGAGGTTACCTTTTCTATAAAGATGTAACACAAATTTTCTTTTATCTTTATCCAAATTTTTCAGGCACCAGTTCTTTGTAAATTCTCACATGTCATTTCTCAACTCGAAGGAAAATGATTTATTGTATATATCTAGAAGTCACATGAATTTGTTTGAGGGTCACATTTTTTATTCTTTTATCTGGCAAATATGAACCTGACAAATAATATTGATATTGTATCACAAGTTTGAAAAGAACTTGGAACAAAAGTGTAAAAGCTGACGTGGCAAGCAAAGTAGTAAAAAAGCTCATTGAAACAATTTAAAAACTTTTAATCAGCTGTTTCGTTCTTTTCCGCGATTCATCAGATAAGAGGCGTTAATTGTGTATTTCATTACTGAAACAATATTAAAAAGCGCGAATTCTTGTTGCCATCGTGTCCGGCAATTTTCAAAGATTCTTAAAGATTACAAGCAGACCTACATCTATGCCCGGTAATCTCTGAATCAATAAAAAGCGATTAGAAAAAAATCAATTTGAGAGATCCACTTAAATCTAAAGAATAAAATTCAGAACTGATTTAAGATTTGCAAGATTAGCGAAAGTATATAAATAGTAAATTTATCTATAATTAGGAGCCGGGTGATATCATGTGATTTGGATTCAATTCGGATCCAGATCATGTGAAAAATTCACGTGATAAGTAATGATTGGCTGAATAATTTTGATTAACAGACAACCATAATAATAATATTAATTATTAATCAATTAATAATTGAGAATAAAGCTCATAAAGATTATTAATTTATAATAATTATCAAAGAATAAAGCTTATATATTTTTTTATGAAAAATAATAATAATAAATATAATTATAAAATTAATTAACTTATAAAATAATAAATTATTATATTATAATTTTAAAAATTGAATCTAATAACTTATTTAAATATGTAATAAATACTTTAATAATATTATTATTACCTTTATTCTTAATTTTTCTTATATTTTTTTTAAAAGTTTATCTATTTATAATTTTTATATTTCTATCTTTCTCTTTATTTAAATTTAAATATTTTAATTATTTTATAATATTTATATATTTTAAAATTAATCTTTATAAATATTTATTAGAATTTTTTTTAAATATTAATTATTAGTAACTTATTAAAATTAAAAAAATATTTATAAAAAATATATTAATAAAAAAGTAAATAATAATAAAAAAGTATATTAATAATATTAGATTTAGTAATAGCTTTTCTTTTATGATTCTTATATTTATAGTAAAAATTTTATTTATAATTAGTTTTTAAATAAAATAGAAAAATTTATAAATTTCAAAATCTTATTATTAAGATTAATTATAAAAATTTATTTTTGATAAAAATTTTTTCAAAATTAAGTTATTTTTTATTATTAAAATTAATAATTTATAATATATTTCTAATATAATATAAATATTTAATAAGTAAAAAATTATAATAAAAAAATATTATAAAGCAATTATAATATTTATAAAATCAAATTCTTTAGATATTATTCTTTTAAGCTTATTATAAAAGAATTTTAATAAATTAATTAAAATAACTTATAATAAAAAAATAAATATTATTACCATTTTTGGTACCTCTTGAAAAGGTTATTTCATGATAGGTTAATAACTTTATATATAATATTTGTTAGAATAATATATAATAAAGATATTATGAATTACAGATGAGAGAGACTAATATAATTATAAATATAATGTAATAGACATTAGACTATGATTATAACGAGATTAAAGGTAGATAACAAGAGTGTGTTCATGATGTGGTCAGCTAGAATGAGACCTGGGATCATAATATAAGGAATGTATGATAATAAATAAGGCATT